GGAGGAGGAGGAGGTGGAGCAGGAGGAGAAGGATGGAGGAGAAGGAGGAGGAGGATGGAGGATCAGGAGGAGGGAGGAAGGAGGAGGAGGAGGAGGAGGAGGAGGAGGAGGAGGAGGAGGAGGAGGAGGAGGAGGAGGGGGCGGGGGCGCGCGCAGAAACCTGGGGGGCGTCCCCTGAGGGTGGGGCCCCCTCTCCGTCCCCTCCGCGTCGAGGCGAGGCCACGGCCAGGGGACGCGGGGCTCCGAGGGTCAGGGTTAAGTCGGGCATGTCCCTCTACAGGAGGAATATTCAAACATAGCAAGAAATAGCCAGGGGACGATGTTTTTGGTTCGTTTGTTTGCTTATTGTTAGATGCGTTATACATACATATATATATATGTATATATATATATATATGTATATATATATAGGTATATCTCTCTCTCTTTTCAAATTGTCTTGAGCATTCTTTTGTTTGGACAATTTTTTCTTGTGTTTCGTCCCAACTCCGCCTCCAGGGGGCACCACCGACCCGACGGTCCGGGGGCGACTGCGGCCCGGCGCCGCCCCGCCCGGACAGCCGCCGGCGGCCCTCCGCGCATGCAAGCGCGGGGGGCCGCCCGCCGTGGCCCGCGAGCCCCCAACGGGCCCGGCCGCCGCCTCCTCCTCCTCCTCCTCCTCCTCCTGCTCCTCCCCCCCCTCCTTCTCCTCCTCCTCCTCCTCCTCCTCCTCCTCCTCCTCCTCCTCCCCGGCCAACGGGCCCGGCCGTTGGCGAGGCCCGCGGCCGCGCACGCCCGAGGCAACGCCGGCGGCCTCGACGACCGACGACGACGACACCGACGACGACGACGACGACGACGACGACGACGACGACGACGACGACGACGACGACGACGACGACGACGGACGACGACGACGACGGACGACGACGACGACGACGACGACGACGACGACGACTGCCAAAACAACGACGACCACGACATCGACGACGACGACGACGCGGCGCCGTGCTCAGGACAGGAGCAGGCAGCATCGGATCGGGAGTCCGGCACGGGAGCATCGCCCGGAGGATCGATCTTCGCAGACCTCCACGCAGGCGGTGGATATGAATGTATTCGGACCCCCAGGGGCCACAAGAGATCCATCTCCACCGCCCGCTGGGTCCCCAGGACGTCGCTTCCCAGGCGGTGGATGTGCATGGGAACATGGATAACTCCCCGCTTCGCAGCACAGGCATCAGAGGAGGAAACGGCGTTGATACTGCGCCCTCGTCGCCACGGCTGGCGCCTCCTACATGTCAGAACGCACTCCAGGAAAAGCATCGGTACTTGCTTGTCCCTTCAATCGAAGAGGAAACAAAAACCATAAACATAAACATTTGGCGCTCTGCGCGGATTTCTCGGATCCGCGCATGCCCCCCCCCCATCGGCTCCTCCGGCGCCGCGCCTGGCGCGCTCCGCGCGCCAGGGAGGAGGGTCCAGCGCAGATGCAAGAAATCAGCGCGGAGCGCCAACAGTTTACGTTTATGGTGTTTCTCTTTGCTATTCCAGGCAGCCCCTCGAGAAAGTCCTGGCTGGCCTCCGCACGAGGCGTTTGCGCACCGCCACCGCCGCGCCCGGCGCAGAGCAGCCACGGGGCGCCGCCGGAGGCGGCGGCGGCGGGGTGCTCAAACCGCGCCAGACGGTTTCGGGGGGGAGAGCTGACGCCAGGGGCGAGGAGGAGGAGGAGGAGGAGGAGGAGGAGGAGGAGGAGGAGGAGGAGGAGGAGGAGGAGGAGGAGGAGGAGGAGGAGGAGGAGGAGAGCAGGAGGAGGAGGAGAAGGATGAGCAGAGGAGGAGGAGGAGGAGGAGGAGGAGGAGGAGGAGGAGGAGGAGGAGGAGGAAGAGGAGGAGGAGGAGGAGGAGGAGGAGGAGGAGGAGGAGGAGGAGGAGGAAGACAGGTCAGCCTGGGCTACCTCGCGGGGGCTGTCTGTGCGCAGCCCCGGGCCTTTCCACTCGCCGCCTCTCCTCGCTGACTGCCCGAGGCCGCTGGGCGCGTCGCTGCCTTCGTCTGCGTCTGCTCCATGCGCTCCTGCCGCGGCTCCTCGTGCTGGCCTCACGTCGGGCATGTCCCTCTACAGGAGGCGTAGTCAAGACAAGTAAGAGATAAGCTGGTGACGATTTCTCGTGCTCTTTTGGATTCTGGATTCTGTGTTGACTATTTATCCGCTCCGCCTGTAGGAGGACATGTCCGACCTCATGCTGGCTGGGCCGTTCTTGCGCCCGACGCTCACCTTCACTCGCTTGATGCGGTGAGTGCGTGTCGTGTCGACGCGGACTCCGCCGCGGGTGTTCACGGTTGAGCGCTGCCAGTGGCCCAGAGTTGGCCCACATGCAGCGATCTGACGATCGAGGAGCCGCCGATCGCTCAAGGTTGAACGATCTACACGGCGCCAGAAACTACGCTCAAATCGTCACACCACGTACCTGCCGTACCCGTCGATACCCGAGGTCGCAGTGAGAGTGGCCTTCCCCTGCCCCTGCCCCTCCTGCTGCTGCTGCTGCTGCTGCTGCTGCTGCTTCTTCTCGTCCTCGTAGCTGTTCGAATGTCGCGCGCATGCGACCGCTGTGGCGCTGAGGATAGCGCCGCAAAAACCGGGGAGGGCAGGCATATCCAGGGTGCAGCTCAATCACAAACCACTCGGTGGTAGGCGTCCGCTGGGCTTCTACCCAATACCTCTCAGAATGTCTGGATGGCTGTGGAGGCACCGTACGCCGATGGGAGTGCTGCCAAGGTCTTGGTGCGCAAGGACGTGGACCTAGCGACACGTTGGGGCGACAAGCTGCCATCTCGGAGGGGACAAACACCATTAGCATATGCAGCATGTACTACATCGCGGTGCTGTGGGACCTCCTTCAGTGTTACGAGAATGTGCCGTGGAGCTTGGTGGAGAGCTGTCCTCAGAATGACGTTTCTTCCAGTATGCTGGCATGCTGATGGACCCTCTCGTCCCTCAGAGAGGCATCGTGGCAGGCCCTGCCAGTGTTGCGCTCGAGGCGAAGATGACGCTCATACCCACTATGGATGCTATATTGGAGGCTCGAGGTGTCCCTGGCCCAGGGTGCTCCGAGGATTTCCGAAGATCAGAAGGCGAACACCAACCCCCAGCCCCAGTCCCGACGCCCATCCCCGAGCCGGCGGTTCGAGGGGTCGGGACTGGGGTCCTCCTCCTCCTCCTCCTCCTCCTCCTCGTTGTACCAGTTAACTTACAGGTCGCACCAACGACTGCCCTGTGAGCTACCTGTGGGACCGTCCCCCTGCCCGCAGAATTGGAGCATGGCTCGCGACATCGCTGAATGTGCGGCCGACGCGGCTACCTCGGCCCCCGTCGGCGAGGCTTGGGAACTTTTGAGCCAAGCGTGGGTTTACTTCTCTAACACCCTTGAGCTTGAGCTCGAGTCTTTTACGGGTGTTCCAGTTACCAGCAAGGGTCACAAGGGTTCAAGGTTGAAGGCGCGTTGGATTCCTATTTTCTCCCGCCCCAAAGGTAACGCTACGAACCTGGTCCACGTTGGTTGGGAATGGTTGGCCCAGCAGCTCCGTGAAACCCTCGGGGCCTGTCGCCGCTTCAAGGAGGCGGAGCATGGAATCGGTCAGGACCCTACTAAGCTCGATCAATTGTGTCAGGACGTGAACCAGCAGATACAACTTGTTGTTGCTCAGCCGTGCCCTGGAGAGGGCCTCAGCGCGCGCTTGGATAGCACGATTGCACAGGCTCGTGAGCTAGTGCGCCGAGGGTCCGCCTCTTCAGCCACGTGGCTGACCGACCTAGACGAGTTCCTCCAGTCTTGGGAGGACGACTACGTTGAGGCTGTCAAGGCCATCCAGAGGGGGAGGCAGGACTCATGGGACGAATGGCAGGAGAAGGCTTTAAGGGGAGGGGCTCGGGCTATGCACCGCCTTACCAAACTGAAACGTCGGTGGACCCCTACCACGATCGAAACTCACCCTGGCATTTTCTCGGCCAACCCTCGGGACCTGCTCGAAGCTGAGAGCGAGGCGCTGGCAAAATTTTGGCATGCCAGCGCTGCGCCGTCCACTGTGTGGGTTCCCAATAGGAATCATCTTCCGCGGCCGACTGCAGGAGATATCCGCAGCGCCGGCGCCAGCTTCTCGGCGCTCACCTCGCAGTCGCTCGACGGGCTGCACCCGCGGCAGCTCTCTCTGGTCTCCGACGCGGCCCTCGACACCTTCGGCGCCCTCGTGCAGGCTATTGAATCGTTGGGACTGTTCCCCAAACAGTTGTTCTGGTTACTCTTTCCCTTGTTGGAGAAACCCAAAGGTGGGCTCCGCCCCATACTGTTATGCGCTGGGCCCGTTCGTGTCTGGGAGCGGCTTCTCAGGCCCTGGCTTACCGACTTTACCGATCGTTTCCCCCGACGTTTTTGGGCCTTCGGTCCTGGCCGCAGCCCCGAGGATGCCGTGTGGCATCAGGCGGCTGCCAGTGAAGTGGCGGCCCAGACGGGCCAAGTCTCCCTCGGAGTCATTTGGGACGGCACCAAATACTACGAAAGTTTCGATTTAGTTTTGCTCAGGGATCGTGCGCTTAAGTTTGGATTCCAGGAAGTCATCGTTAAAACCACTTTTAACTTCTGGCGAGGACCCCGAATCGTTAGGCTCGGCAGCATGTATGGCACGATCCCCTACTTCGCCACGTCGGGCCTGCCCGCTGGCGATGGATTTAACGACCTGTTTGTCCGTGTGTACAGCCTCGAGGCCTTCGACGGCTACACGCTTGCCAACCCCCTTCGTCCCCCTCTCCTCCTACGTCGATGACGATGCTATGACGACGCAGGCGGATACGGAACAGGAGGCCCTCAGTCGTATGGTCCAGGCTTGTGCGCACATGTGCGTTATTTTCCGCGACAGTTTGAAGGTCGGCCTCCAGGCGGACAAATTAACCACCTTCGGAAGCTCTCTTTCGCTGGCCAGAAAACTCGGCACTCTTCTCGGCCAGAAGGCTGGTCTCGTCACGAACAGTACCGTGTCTCTCGGCACTGATCTTGCCCCTGGTCAGGAGAGGTCGGCCCGTAACGCTCTTTGGAAACGCCGTTCTCGTTTTGGTTCCATGTTCAAGCGTCATAAGAAGTTGCAGAAGATGAGGAGCCGACTTCCACGACAGAAGGGCCGCATTGGGAATATTTATGTTGCAGGCGTGGCTCCTGCCGCTACTTTCGGCTCGTCCGTCGTTGGATTGAGCGACTGGGAACTGTCTCAGGCCAGGCGCGCCCTCCTCTCCTACAAACCCCCCTGCCACCGCGGGTGCTCCCTTACGGCCAAACTTGCCTTGCACGGAGACCCCGTCGATCGTGCGAGTGTGGCCCCTGCGGTTCATTGGGCCACTATCGTTTGGACGGCCATCACTTCTCCCTCGACCTCGTATTACTCGGTCAAGGAAGTTTGTCAGATGTGGTGCCGAGTGCCTTTCGACCAAGATGTGAGTTGGAAGAGCTCGAGGGGGCTCATTCAGAGAATGCATCTGTGCTTGTTTCGTGTGGGCTGGTGCGCCACTTCTGCTCTCACTTGGGAGGATGACTACGGTCGCGAAGTGCACCTTGGTTTCAACTCCCCCAGCATGGTGCGTCATTTGCTTAGGTTGGCCACCCAGCGCAGTTTTGAACGGAAGCTGGCCTCGGACCCCCTGAATTTTCCTGGTCCTCGTGTGACCCTTGACCCGCTGCAAAAACTCCTGGGGCCCAAGTCCAAGGTTTTAAGCGATCGGGAAAAATACCTTGCCAGCTCAGTTTTTTGTAGCGGAGTTTGGACCCGCGCGCGAGCTCGCGCCGCAGGATACCAGAGCGATGGT